GTGCTTCACTCTGCCGCAGATAAAATGCTGGATTTGAAACACTTGATGATCGGCGGGGATGCTCTGTGCTCACAAAGCACACGGTGATCCGCTTGAATAGTGTCACGAGAAGGACAGAATAATACGCTCATTAAATCTCATTGATGGACAAGTCTGGCTCGTCTTCCTCTGTGTTATTATCTGTATTTAGAAGGTTGCTCTCCTGAGACTGTTGTGTGTATCAAACAGCGGCGCTGACGCAAACACAAAGCATGACCTCTGGGCTACAGTGAAGGTAATTACACTGAATTATTTTTGATTGTTTAATATTTCACATTATCAGCCACAGCTCATGTTGATCTGTTCCATTAAATTACCCCCTGTACAAGCAACAGCATGTGTCGGTTATTTAAAGTCTGAACCGACCCAGCTTATGTTACCAGAACTACACATGAGACTTGCCTTCATGTTGTTTGAGTGAGAACGTCTTGAACAGCGTGTCGAGGGAAGATTTGAACAATAATCAGCGTCATTATCACGGCATTAATAAAGATTTCGTTGGCTGCAAAATCGCACAACTTCTGCATTATGACAGCTCACACTATTGATGTATAAAATAACCTTGTTGCATTTTTAAATTTTACTCAGAATCATTTATTTTGCACAAAATAAGTGTATAAAATAAAACAAATCTCCCACTGACAGCAGTGATAGTGGAAAACTCAGACTTTACTTAAATGATTGTAGTTATGCCCCCTTGTAAAAGCTTCCTGCTTTCAGTTTTCCACTTTTCCATCCATCCATTATCTATACACCGCTTAGTCCTCACTAGGGTCGTGGGGAGCTGGAGTCTATCCCAGCTGACTCAGGATGAAGGCAGGGGACACCCTGGACAGGTCACCAGTCTATCACAGGGCTACACTTAGAGACAGACAACCAAGCACATTCACACTTACAGACAATTTAGAATCACCAATTAACCTCAACATGTTTTTGGACCTTGTAGGAGGAAGCCGGAGAACCCGGAGAGAACCCACGCTGCACAGGGAGAACATGGAGACTCCACGCAGTAAGATCCTGGGTGTCCTCACCAGGATGTGAACCAGTGACCTTCTAGCTGCGAGGCAACAGTGCTAACCACTGCTCCACCTTGCAGCCCGTTTTCCACTTTTGTATGAGAAAAATATGCTATAAACACAAACAATACTCAGGATGTACAACTGTCTCTTTCTGAGTGTTGTATATTGATTATTAATATTAACCAAAATGTCATCGTGCAGCTGGTCAGTCCTGTTGGTTCACAATTAAGCTTTGTTACATGTACAGCAAATCTTTTACGATTAATCTGTAACTGGAAAACTACTAGTTATCAGTTGCTAACTAATGTGAGTGAGTGACAAGAAGACCATAATTTAAAATTAAAAAACAAAAACAAAAACCTACTAAAAGCCAGTCCTCTTATGTATTTTTAGCACAAGCAGCATCTCACACCCAAACACTGTTTTCTGTTTTCACTATTTCACATCAGATCAAGTGCTGATTGGCTACTGGGCAGTTGGAGAGTTTTTCCAATGAACCGGTATCTTTTCCAAACCCCGGAGATATTTGCCTGATAAATGCCAAAGTACAGATATCCAGTAGATCATCTTTGCTGCAGCGACCAGGGCGGTGGAACCTGTAGAATGAATCGAAAGAGAAAACCTGGAGCAGAGAAGACACCAAACAAAAGAAAAAGGCCGGTTGTCGCTGTGAAATGTGTTAAAATATAGCAGATTTATTTGAGCGGGCTGCAGGGGATGATGAGGACAGTGAAGAGGCAGAAACATCAGAGAGGAGGGAGCAGCTGCTTTGACTCAGCTGTCAATGCTATTGTGTGACGTAAATTAGAGACACAATACATTATTCATATCAGGTTGGACTTCATTCAAGTATTTGATTGTGGCTTTACAATAAATAGAATGGATGACAAGTATGTTGTAGTATTTTAAATAATTCTGATAATTAAAGGTTCTATAATTAGGTGTGATGGGATCCTGTTTGCTTCCTGTACACACAAACTCAGGGATTAAAAGACATATACCTTTCATCGTTTCACATTTTAGCTTCAACACCAATGAACAGATTGTGGGTATTTTTTTAATTAAGGATTTGTTGATCGCCAAATGCGTCGGTTCAAATTTGGCAAATCAGATCCCACACACAGGTTAGGCAGCATTTTGTTGTTTTCTGATGTGGCAAACAACGCTGGAATGTGATCAAACCCCACGATACAGACGTGATGAAGCAGATTAGCCCAGTTATTGTTTTCACCGGTAAGAACGGCGTTTCGAGCTTAGACTCCGACGCTAACGTGTCGAGTCATGAACGTCGAGGTTTAAAACCCAATCAGAGTTACGTGTGAATCTATTTTTCACTGCTGCTTGAAAATATGCCAATTCATCTCCTGGCCATTTATAAAATGCTAATATATAAAAAATATATGTCATAGTACAGTAAAGACATTACAGCAGCCTAAAGATGGCGGTTCAAAAAAAAAAATCTTTACAGAATGATTGCAAATTTTCTGAAAAATCTCTTGATGTCATGAGTCAGATAACTGCTGCCTCCCTAATTAAGCCTCAAGTCTCCCATCCATCCATTATCTATACACCGCTTAGTCCTCACTAGGGTCAGGGGGGGCCGGAGTCTATCCCAGCTGACTCTGGATAGAGTATATATATATTTTTAGATATAAAAATAGATAAAAATAGACACCCTGGACGGGTCACCAGTCTATCACAGGGCTACACTTAGAGACAGACAACCAAGCACACTCACATTCACACCTACGGACAATTTAGAATCACCAGTTAACCTCAACATGTTTTTGGACTGTGTGGGAGGAAGCCGGAGAACCTGGAGAGAACATGCAAACTCCACGCGGAAAGATCCCGGTTGTCCTCATAGGGACGTGAACCGGCGACCTTCTTGCTGTGAGGCAAAGGTGCTAACCACCGAGCACGACCTCAAGTTTCTTACAAGATAATTTCTTTAAAAAAAAAAAAAAAAAAAAAGCTTTACATTCCCATGTGCAGAAAATCCATTAAGATTTCAGACTGAAAATGTCCTTGAAGTTTTGATACTTTAGCTACAAGAGCTTCACTTTACACCAAATAAAAACAACGCAACTGACTGCAAACCAACCAAACTATGCCAAAGAAGAGATTCAGCTGTTTTCTTGCAGTACTGAATCAGGTATCTTAAGGCCGGATAGGAAGTTTGGTAAAAATATCTCTACAAAACATTAGTGCAGATGCAGATTGTTTTGCACATTTTGTAAAACAAAAAAACCCAAAACTGTATTTGGACACAGTTTGTGGTAAAAATGCTGACTACACCCCATGCACTGATGCCATGTTTCTATGTGTGTTCCAATCTACGTTCTCTTTTATGGAAAATCATTTCAGTCGACTGATAAGGAGTTCCTGCTCTGCTCTGCTGGACCAGAAACACTCACTTGGAAAGAGGAAGTCGGCAAAGTTTACAAGAGGTCAGGAGGTCGCAGCACAGTGTCAGCTCGCCGCTCTGACTGATGATACACAACCATAAAACCCCGGCTGTTACACCTGCGTTAGGGTTCAAAGGTGACTCTGCACGCGCTCAGTGAAGCCCAGAATAGCTAGCTAGCGTACGAAGAGAGCTCCGCGTGCCAGCAGTCACGCTGCAGGGCGGCGACATGAACACTGTGCATGATTTATGTTCTTCGTCACTCTTGGCTTTGCTCATTTGTTGACTGCTGTTTGTCTGAGTTACTGTAAACCACTGACGAACATCGAGTTCGAAGGTGTGTGTGTCAGTGTCAGTCATGTGTGTCCCTTCATGACAGGGCAAGCATGTCTTATTCTTAATAAGAATATCTGTTTCCTCTTATCCTTAACTATGCATGAGACATGTAATCGCCCCTTTAGGATGTTCTTTGTTTTTTAACCTATTTGTTAACATCTGCATGGTTTAGTTATTGCAACAGAGATTTTAATCTGTTTCCCAAAAGCGCCTCTTTCTGTTTATCCGACAGCATCTGAAGATGCAGGCTTCATGTCTGATTGAGCACCCTGCCCACTTTCCTGTAAAAGTTTCGATATCAATCTTCCAAGATCAGATGTGGTAACATTTCAGTGTCGCTTCAACATAGCACAAGACTACACGGTCTGCAGTCGCCTCATATTATATACAGTTTAAGTCGTGTGAATCGATTTGGGCGAGACTTTGATCACATTTCACCACCGATATTTGCCCAGAAACCTCACAGAAAGCAACAGACACAGTTTTTAGCCCAAATCATAAAACCAAATAACTCTCTTGTTTATGTTTCTCTATGATTTCACATCTAGAACAAACCGAAATCTCCATAAAAAATATAACTTTACTGCAATGAAGACATATGAGGTGTGTCAGAAAAGTTTCAGGACTGGTGTCACAAAAGCTATATTTCAAATCCAAACTACAAGTTTTCCCCTTCCAAGTCATCTCCCTGGAGTCTAACACACTCCCCCAGCCTTCTCTGCCACACAGCCATGCACTCTTGGAAGGATTCTTCCAGGATCCTCCTCAGCTCCGCCGTCACAGCCATCTTGATGTCGTCCACATCTTCAAAACGGGTCCCCTTGATGACCCCCTTGAGCTTTGGGAAGAGGAAAAGAATCCCACGGAGCCAGGTGGGGTGAGTAGAGAGGATGCTCCAGCACTGTGATGTTCTTCTCAGCCAGGAACTGTCGGATGCTCATGGCATTATGAGCAGGCGTGTTGTCATGGTGAAGCAGCCACGACTTGTCCTGCCACGACTCTCACCTCTTCTCTGAACGAAGCAAACGCTACAGAATCTCTTTGTAGACGTGCTGGTTGATCGTCTGAAGGGGAAAACTCACAGTTTGTAGTTTGGGTTTGAAATATATTTTTTGTGACACCAGTCCTGGAACTTTTCTGACACACCTCGTACATACTTGTGTGCTTTCGGCGGCCTAAACCTGTTGCTTTAGCTCGACCAGACCGGCTATGAGCGGGGACACCTTGACGTATATGATGTATCGCCAGCTATGCAAGGGATTGTCGGTTAGATTTGCCAGAAAAGCGTGTTGTCAGAATGCAACCAGATGTATTAGAACGTCCTGGTATTTCTTTTTTTTTTTTTTAACATACTGCATTTGACATATTATGTACTGCGACTTACTAAAGAAGAAGAAGAAGAAGAAACAAAGCTTTCGCCATCTGCAAGAGAACAAACAGAGCCAGTCTCCATTCATCTACATTAAGCTAACTTTATTTGCAAATTTACAGTAGCCACTCTGCAGTTGGTCCACCTGTACAGAGCTCACTGGCAAAAGCAGGACTCAGAGTAAACACACTGTACATCTCGTATGTATGGGGTGTCTATACTGCGTGACTTGTTTGAGGATTCCCACACATCAATGTTTGACTTGCAACAAGACGAACAACTCTTGAAACTAAAGGGTGCACACACACACACATATATATAACTACAGATGACTCGATCCCTTCTATGTATGCTTTGTGTCTTTTTCTTACAGTAAACTAAACAGTGAGCACTTGAGTTGATTTAAAGCAGGATTATGAGTCAGTTAGCAGTTTCACAAGAACATACACCCTATAATCCTATTTGTCTGCCCTTACACTGGATTTCTCAACGCATTCTGACATTAAATTGCTCTACTTTTCACTAGAAAGGGGCAAAAGCTTCACTGGAAATGCTTGTTGATAAACTGAATGTTACACCCAACGCTGATCGCATCTTTTTCTCTGTAAGGGAGAGTTTGTTACACCTGTCACAACTATCTAACACTGGGGTTGTGAGCTCTTGCAGGAATGAAATCTTGGTATTTGGAATATTCAGCATGAGCAGCTCTCACACAGACACTATTTTTTTAAAACTTCATTCAGCCAGTGGTTGTCTATGTATGCTGCATATTACTAATATACAGGGAATGTGGTTGTGTAACCTCCAGGTTGTTAACCTGAAGGGATTGCAGAGTAGGTTGGTTCACAGGCTCCGTAGGGGGGGTTTGATGCTGCCCACCAGTCCTGAACACACCTAAACACAGCAAGGGAGCCAGTGTCCCATCCTGTCTCACCTGGGAAGTAGAGGGAAATCGACTCCACCGAAAACAGTGGGATACTAATCCATGGCTCTACCCCTTCTATGCCCAGAGGTCTGATTCCACGCTCCTTACGACCTGCCCCTTCAACTGTTCATGTGTGCTCACATACAGCTCCAAAATTCATCCACAAAGATCAGTCTCTGCCAACGAGGTTAAGATTTTGATCCTGTTTAATTATTTTTGATATCTCAGAAAGATATTGTTTGATTGAGTTTTGATGGTAAATTAGTTGCATTCATAATTTTTAATGAATCAGTCTGTCTGGATCCAAATACCTCCATTTGTTGGACGTTTTGTCGTGAAATTATGATCAAATTAAATCCACTCATGGTCCCCAGAAGATGAACTGACACAACTTGATGCTCCAGCTTTTCATCTTGGCGTTATCATCTGGTCAAAACTGTACAGTAATATGATTTAGTATCAAATTCTTGCATTCCTGTTAGCCTTATCTGTATTTAGTTTTTAATACTAGTCTGTCTGATTTAAAAGTTTTCTATCTAAACACTGTAAAACAGACATCTCTCAGGGCTTATTTTTAAATTAGCATTCTCATATTTTAATGCATTTTATAGCTCTTAACTCTCTATTTATGCAACTATCCAGATTTGAGCGAGAATGTACTCACTGACTACTCTTCTCACATCAAAGTATATAATATCTACTGTACAAAACATATTATATTGGCAAAAAACAGGCTGTAAAGTTGTGAGATATCTACTTTTTTAAGGATTATTCTTGTCACCCTATCAACTCGGAAAACAACTGGAGCGTTTCTGTTGCATGGATATATTTGAACCAAAATGATTTTCTTAAACCTTACAGAGTTTTGGTAAGTAAGTAGTTTTGTAGTGTAAACAGCGACTGAAAGCAATTTAAAACCGTGACTGAAAAAAAAAGCAAAGTGTAAAAATAATTTAATAAAAGAATGGTTTTATTCTGGTCAGCATCCTGCGTTTGGTTAGCCTGACCACGACCCCGCCAGCCTCCCTAATGTGGACTCTGCTGCTCTTTCAAAGCTGCAGAAGCTGGTGGTTCATGTGATGTAGACACTGGTTTAAAAAATAGGCCAAAAAAGTAATAATTTTGCATCCTTTATTGTGAAACTAATGTTTTGTGCTGTGGGTCTATGTGGGTATGACACATTGTTGGAGAGCCAAGCCAAATTTGAAAATGTTTTGCCACCTTCAGTAGAGGCAAAGAGAAATTAGTTTAGGGGCTCCACAGAGTTTAAAGATACCAGCAACATCTCCTCACGTTCCATTTGCTTCATCACATAGCAGCAGAAAACTCACACAAGCATCTGTATTGTGAGACAGCACGAGGGGACCAATTGGATTTCTTGAATATGGTTTAATGTATTCTTACAGATTATATTAAGGGATTAAAGCCAAGCCTTTCCCGTTGGATAGCGGTAGCCTAACAAAGTGTCTCTAAGGCATCTCAGTACAGAGCAGATTAATGAAGACTTTTACAACCGTTTACAATCAGAGCCATTTCGCTGTGATTGTGCCACAATGAATACCAATGGGCAGTTTACAGAGGGAACCTGTGGGGTTCGTAGGCCTTGATTACAGGGGTTATTCGTATTTAAATGCGGCCTGCTTGCAATAAAAGCAGGACACGCTTTGAGAGTGTGGTGATGCCATCAGATAAAACCTATAAGAAAGTTTAAAGGAACGAGAGAAACAGAAATATCCTGTATCGTTGTGCATCCAGCAGGGTTTTCTTCTTTTATCTTCCTATTGATTTCTATTCCCTATGTTTTCTCCGTTGCTGCTGTAATACTGCAAATCTGATAGCGGTGATGTGAAAATATGCTTTGAAACATGTGTAATGAGTTTCCATGTACCCTAACATATTCAGAGATAAGCTTCAGTTTACACATCCCAGTAATAATAATACACCAACAAGCCGATGTTGTCTTTAGCACATTTTGTTTGTTGTGTTTATTAGCACAATCAGTCCACAGCCTCGTAAACACAGATCTGCCAGTTTCCCTTCGCTGGAAAAGTAACTGTTAGTGTTTGGGTCGCACCGTAGCCTTTACAACAACACCTCTGCTCTCTTTCCATTTCTGACTCTGTACCTCTGATAAGACATCAGAGAGAGTTTCTGTTAATTGCGTCGCTAAATTCCAGGCAGAGAGGAAGTGCCTCCATAACTGTGGCTCAGATGCCAGAGGTCAGATGGCATTAAAAAGGATCACAGGCGGGCGATCTGCGGCCAAGAATAACAGCGGCTCTGCAGCCAAAGAAAAACAATGAGCTGATTTTTTTACATTTATTTTTTGCTTAAATGCCTCCTTTTTGTTGCTGTGTCTCTTTACATGGCAGGAGTTTTATTTCACTGGTCAGTATTACAGGTGAATTACATGGATCAGAACATCAACAGTATGCAGAATGCCAGGAACATGTATTCACAAATATAGCAAATCTATAGGTGTCTAGTGACTGACATAAAGCAGACTGTAAAGCTGCAAAACACTGATATGAACTCTCTGGACCTGAGTGACGACTAGCAATTCAGTTTGATTTAATCTGTTCACTGGTCATTTTCAGAATCTGGAAATAGCTACACTGTTTGTACTTTCTTCTCACAAGCACCCTGTATTGACATTCTGAGCCTACACATGTTTATATACTACTACACCTTGTATGTACATTTTGCACTACTACAAGTCATTAGATTTTTGTATGTGCAACATCCAGAGGTGCAACATCAGCTACACTAATGCTTTTGATATAGTTCTTAATACACCAAATAAGCTATATCACTGTTTTTATAGGTTACACTTGCACATTTTTTTTAACTAGATATGTATAATTTATATTTGTACATTTCTTACTGCACTTCTAGAAAATGTTAGATTTTTGTTTTTTGCGCACTGTGTAATGAAAATGAAGGAATAATTCTATTCTGATGATGAAAATGCAAAAACTATTGCAACAAAAACCTAATTTCACTTTATGCTTAGTGTTTTCTTTTAGTACAAGACAGAAATGACCAGCAATTGCTTCTTTAAGAATGTGCAGATATTCAAAAATGGCCAGATGTTGTCTATGTAAGAACTGCTCAGACCTGGTTATGCTGCTTTGTGGAAACACACATCTGCAGACTAGAGAGTAGTTCTTATTTTACTTTCTAGTCTGCTTGAGGGTTGCAGTCTTTACATAGGCAGTAGATTGGCATCTATGTATTTGGCACACATGCATTTTATGACCTTGTACTGTATAATATACTGGAGGGTTGCACAGAGCCTCATGTGCACCCTCTGATGACATAAATCTGACCCTAGCGGACCGTTAGAGTGAAGCCTTAAAGTTGCTGCGGTCCAGTTTCTGGATGTTTTTTGCTCCTGTCACATTATTACTCATTGTTGGGCTCATTTTTAAGTCCTGCACCTCCACTGGAAACAACCAATGACTAGAAGTACAGACAACTCAAATGTCTTGTGTGCAGTAAGACGTAGTTATGATGCCATAAAAGACTAAAAAAGACAAAAGTGAATTTCTTTCATTATTTATTTTACAAACATTAATAGAAAACTAAAACCAATATGTACAATATTTTTTAAAAAAAGCCCACAAAAGTGACAACAAAACGAAAAAAAAAAAAACAGTGACTCCACATGCTATAGATGGGCTACTTGACTGGGCCTGTTCACATGTTTACAGCTTCTCCAAACTGTCCATTTTTCACACTGCTCTGCACCTCAACTCTAGGAAGATATTTCACCGTGCTGAATGTATCCTCCATCAACTTACTCACAACTTGCATCACTATATACCAATTTTTTAACCAAGCTGCATTTATTTTGCTGCTCCAGAATGCTGTATTTTAACTCTCACTCCTCTCTGCTCTTTAAAAACACTGC